ACCACCATGTGTCTTACTGGCTTTAGCACCTTACTTGGGAGGGGGGGTGAAATGATTTAAAAAAAAAAGAAATATCTTAATGAGAATTATGTTATATTTAGCTATTAGTACTGGACAGAATTAGAATCTACAACTAGAAAAAAAAAAGCTCTTAAAAAGTGAAAGAAACTTGTTTTTAAAATGGGGAAGGGGAGAGAAGAAAAAAAAAAAGAAGCTTCATGCACCGAAAGGTCAATTTTTGATTATACATTGACATATTCACAGACCAAGTCTCATTGTTTTTATTGCAACACTAGCAGTATAACCAGTCTTCGACTTGGAGTAGTTTAAGTCAGCTCACCTGAAAATCAATATTAGTAGCAACAATTGGGTGCAACTGAGATACATCCCCAAATGGGGGGGGAGGTTAACAATTTTAAAGTGGGGTTGGCCCTGAAAAGGGCCCATTTTGCTTTCTCAATCTTGCAAGGAAGGAACCTCTTCCATGGACCATCATAATAATAAAATACAATAATTTTTATTTATAATATAATTTTTTTTATAATTCTAATAATCTTTTGCATCAGATTTCAACTCTTTAATTTGATTGTATGCTGTTTTTTTACAGACATTAAATTTTGCCTTTGATTTTTGTGCAAAGTGTAAAAAGCAGTTTTTTTTCGATTTTTCACCTTCAAGATTGTAATTTTTTCTAGCCAATTTGGACTCAAAACTGGCACTGAAACAATCAAACAAAAAATTTCATTGAAATTGGATGAAAATTGTGGAAACGCATAAACAACATCTGATCACACACACAAACACATTTTGAGAATTATAGATATAGATTTTAATCATTATCCTTTATGTTTCTTTAAGAGTCGATGACATTCATTAAAGTTGAATCCGTTCTGTTTTGATTTATTTTGCTAATTCAATGCACTAGGGTGTGTTCTTTTCATTCTTTTACTTAGCACATTTACAAGGAGGTGAAGAACACTTTTTTAACCCAATCAGGAAGCCATCAAAAAAAAAAAAAAAAAAAAAAAAAAGATTCACTTTATTTGATCCTCTGGGGTATACTGTTCTCATTCCTTTAATCAGGTCCCATGTCCTACCTAGAGAATTTGAGAAATCATAAACATCAATTCTTCCTTCAGGTCACAATCTAAAAGGTTATGAATCTTATCTGGTTCCTAAAAAAATCCTAAGTGCATTTCCTGTGTGAAGTCCTGGTAGAAATATGTCCAGGCTTTGTTGAGAAGAAGGTCAGTATCATAAGAGAACATTATTGCTGTATGCTTAAAGATGTTACAGACAGACAAAGGTGGTACTTGAGTGAAGGAACAGCAACACATGCATAGATGAAAGAAGAGAGGTTATTGTAAAAGGGAATACATTACTGAAAGACAGGGAATCGGGTGGCAGGCTAGTAATTACCAAAGCAAGCCCCCAGGTATATTCTGTGCTCACTATATATAGCTAGTGATATAGTCAGTCCACATAGGTGATAGGGAGTGTGGGACATTCCATTAAAACAATTATAATAAAAACAATAAAAATGAGAACACTGGTGCAAATATATCAATGTATAATATGGGAAAAGATCTCCTTACAGGAATTGAAACAAGAAAATTGTTTAACAAAATAACCCTGGGGTTACTTGGTTGAAATAAGGATTTCTATCTTTGATGGTTTGCTTCATCAGAGGTCAATGGTTTGGCTGCTGACCAAAAACTGTAAGGTTCAAGATGAAATGGTGCAACGTCTTAAAGTAGTATAAAGACTTGGATGAAGCAATCTGTGAGAGGAGGTTCTATAGCTTGGGAGGAAATAAATCTGAAATTTGAACCTATTACAGCCCATTATCTTCAAAATGGAATGGAATGGGTTAGAGATAAAAATATATAATACTAGATATTTTTTTTATAAACCCATAATACCAAACCTTTTTTTTTTTATATATAAACGTCTAATACCAAACCCTTTTTTTTACATAAACCTCTAATACTAAACCTTTTTTTTTTTATATAAACCTCTAATACTAAAACCTTTTTTTTTTATATAAACCTCTAATACTAAAACCTTTTTTTTTTATATAAACCTCTAATACTAAACCTTTTTTTATATAAAATCTCTAATACCAAACCTTTATTTACAAAAAATAAAATACCAAACCTTTTATATAAATCTCTAATACCAAACCCTTTTTTTTTACATAAACCTCTAATACTAAACCTTGTTTTTTTATATAAACCTCTAATACTAAAACCTTTTTTTTTTATATAAACCTCTAATACTAAAACCTTTTTTTTTTTATATAAACCTCTAATACTAAACCTTTTTTATATAAAATCTCTAATACCAAACCTTTATTTACAAAAAAATAAAATACCAAACCTTTATATAAAATCTCTAATACCAAACCCTTTTTTTTACATAAACCTCTAATACTAAACCTTGTTTTTTTATATAAACCTCTAATACTAAAACCTTTTTTTTTTATATAAACCTCTAATACTAAAACCTTTTTTTTTTATATAAACCTCTAATACTAAACCTTTTTTTATATAAAATCTCTAATACCAAACCTTTATTTACAAAAAATAAAATACCAAACCTTTTATATAAATCTCTAATACCAAGCCTTTTTTTTTATTATATGTAAATCTCTATTAGCAAACCATTTTTTTTATAAACTAATAACTACTATCATACTTTTGAATAAACATCTCATTAATACCGTACTTTTTTTTTGTCATGGGCCTTAATGTGTTAAAACGAGTGGCACTCTATTGATAATCTTCATGTTTGCTTCTTGCAAATGTCAACCCATCAGAAAGAAGGATCTTGTTACTTTAGGTTTTAAACACAAACACAGCATGTTCCTGTTGCTGACATTTTTAAATAAATAAATCTTTAGTACATTTGATCTTTAAAAGTGATATTAACAAATAAAATCTAGGTTAACACTTGAATACAACCATTTGGCTGCTTAGTTTTTGTTCGTTTCTTTTTTTTGTTTTTTTCACTCATTGAATAAGCTGTCGATTAACTGAATTAGAGTGTTTAAAAATTGATGTAAATAATTTTTGACTTGAGCAAATGAAAGAATTTTTCATGTTCCTAAAATGAAAGAAGAATTCATTAGAAGAGAAAGCAAAACAACATTTTCAGGACTGAAAAATAAGATTCACTTTAGTTAAAAGAAAAAGAAATCACAATTTGAAATCTGTTAAAAATCTTTCCAAGTAAATCAGTTTCAAGAAAGAAATAAAAAGAAACAGGTTAAAAAAAATTAAAACATATTACTTAAAAAAAGCAGTTTACAGTCTTATTTGAAGCTTTTCAAGAAATTACAATTCTGTTAAGTTGAAAATTAATTACTTACAAATTCTAAATTAGGCACAGCAGGTGGGGGGTCCCCTTCAATTTTCTGTATAGACTGGTCAATAAATTCTGCTACTTCTTCATTTTCAGAAAGGATTGTTTTAACCTGGGTTAAATGCCACAGGCTGACTGTTGAGCTGCATTTTGACTTCTGTAGTCTGGAAAACAAAATGATTGTCATTCAAGGCATGAAAAGGTATTTGGAACATTGGGGAAAACATGTAGATAGTTTATTTCTTGAAATGTTAACAGTGTTGTATCTTAATAAATCATTAAGACTGAATTTTAACCTGGGAAAATTTCACAGTTTTCCAATTTAATATTTTGATGAATCTTAATTCTTAAATTAATGATTGAATAAGCTCATGGCGAATTATACAACAATAAAAAATCTGTAGAAATTCCCCTATTGCATTGTTAAATATTATTGCAATAACAATCATAAATATGAATGTTGGTCGTTATTTCAAGAAGTAAGGGGGTACAAGTGAGAGGTCAAATCATATAGTTGAGCTTAGAAATTTTAACAAAATATTGCAATGACAATCATAAATATGAAGTAAGGGGGTACAAATGAAAAGATTTAAAACTGACAACTTTTCCATTTCATTGAAACAGATGTTAAACATTTCTATCTTCATTTCTTTTTTTCATTTTCTCACTGAAACCAAGTAGTGTCTTTTGTCTTTCCATTCAATCAAAATGGACTAGTCCATTATTTATGAAGTATTAGAAGGAGACATTAAACACTTTTCTATTTTTCACTGAAACCAAGTAGCATCTATGATATGTCTTTTTCCTCTTTCTACACAATCGAAACAGAACAGTCCATTATTTAAGAGGTATTGGCAGGGCGTAACAGTCATGCAAACTAACAAAGAAATGAACAAGCACAAGTATTATAAGATTTTCTTTTTTAATCCTGTTACATGTCTAAAATGTTTTGCCATAAGTGTTTTGTAGAAAGTAAATGGAGTTGTCTCCCATTGCTTTCAATACAATTTTTAATTCAGAGCTGCCCTTTACAGAGGTCACTTCAGTCTCACCACCAGAAGACTGAATTTTGACCAAATAGGGGACTACTGTTATTTTCAAAAGAAATGGATGCCTACTCTCTCTCTCTATATATATATATATATATATATATATATATATATATATATATATAATAATATATATTAGCAAAACATTAGGCAACATATAATTTATATACAAAGAAATAATCACACATAGAATCAATCAGCAATATTAATGCTATTATTGGTGACATCCATCGCTAGCAGTGTATAATGTATGCATTAAAATACTGTTAATCCATACAGTGACGTGATCCTCATTTATAAAACCGTTGTCTGTTGTTTCCATTTTAAAAAAAAAATGCAAGTACTTTCGAATAATCCTTTATTCATCGTCAGGGCATATGTTTTCCTTATAAAATCAAAAACTTGAAGACGAAATAATTGTTTGTCGACCGAAAGATGTTTTTTTTTGAGTATGTACTATTATTGACGGTTGTGTACAATATCGGAATGTGCAAAGACGCAACGCTAAGTTTTTCAAAATTTTAAGTGAGAATTTTATTTGAACTTTTCTTGTGATGTGGTAAAACAACGTATTCTATTTTTACAAGTGTTTTCAGTTAATATGTCATGAACTAAGTATATCGTTCAATTAATATAGTGTTATGTCTTAGTAGTAGTTTTTTTTATAGGAATATTTTTTTTTTAACAGTATTTTAATGCATACATTATACACTACTAGCGATGGATGTCGCCAATAATAGCATTAATATTGCTGATTGATTCTATGTGTGATTATTTCTTTTTATATATATATATATATATATATATATATATATATATATATATATATATATATATGCATGTTTCATTAAAAACAACAGACAAGGTACTACGGTTGAGCTTTTTGTTTAATTTTTCTTGTGTTCTGACAAGAGCTTTCTTTTCTGGACAAAGAGTGTAAGAACTGTCCGAATGTTCTGTATTTCCGAGCGCTTTCGGCTATATCTTTAGCCATTATCAAGGATGATTCAATTATCAGCTTAGTAGAGTGTGTGTGTTCTGTGATGTTCAGTGTGTGGTAGTGATGTTTTGATATTACCTTCAGTATCCTGACTGTACACTTGTCAGGAAGTATCAGTAATTGGCTTGACTCCTTATATATATATATATATATATATATATATGAATAAAGACAAAAGGAAAACTTATCTTAGCCGATGCATTTTGTCCTCTGATGGACTTCATCAAGGATTTTTATTTTGCAACAAGTATTTATAAACAAAAGTAAAAACGTTAGTTTTTCAGAATTTTTAAATTTAAGAAATGCTCATAAATATTCATCAGGCAAACTGAAAATCAAGGTAAACTATGGAGGACCCTAAGTGATGTAATTTAATGTCTAATAAATGAAAGTGTGTAAATATTATATTTTAATTGATAATGTAATTATTTTATTTTCATTTAAGAAATTTCTTTTTGCATTTATATATTTTAAGTAATCGGTTTTGAATTTAACAGTTTTATTATGCTTTTGTTTTAATTTTTATCAGGTGTATTGGTTTGGGAAAGGAGTATATCTTTCAGGAAAGGAGATATTTTTTAAAAATCCATGGCACAGATTTATTTTTTGGTAAAATTTGATAATGGCACTCTCAAGAATTTTCTGTCAAAGTTACCTTTTCTCTTTATAAATACTTGTAAAATAAAATCCTTACATTTGTCTCGATAAAGTCCATCAGAGAACAAAACACATTGGCTAAGATAAGTTTTCCTTCGTCTTTATTGATAGAATTTTTACAGAGATATTTTTTAGTTATATTTGAAATTTACACAGATATATATATATATATATATATATATATATATATATATCATATATATATATCATCTATCGCTCGTTCACACTTCTCCTCAGTCTTTCGAGCAGCAGTCGACATTTTCCCTTGTTTCATGTTTAGGATTGGTTTCCTGGTTACTTCTAAATTCTACTCTAACTTTATACTTCTAATGTCACTGCCTAAATTCAGAAATGTATACTATTATTGGGTTTCTGGTTCCTTCCAAAGCCTTTTCCTTTTCTATCACTTCCAGTAGCCTGTTATATCTTAGTAGCTTTATTGCCTTGCTTGGGGTGTGTGTATATATTATATATATATATTATATATATATATATATATGAAAATGCTTTGTTCTTAAACATTTTCCAGATTAAACATATCTTTCAGTGGTATGTTTATTTAAAAAATAGTAAAGTTTCAATTCAAGCCTTTTAAATGACACATCATCAAAGAATCTCTCAGTTCCCTCAAAGGATTAGAAAAGAGAGGATAAATTCAAATGGAATCACAGAGGATATCAAACAGCCTTAAGGAAGAAGAATTCCAATGGAATCACAGAGGATATCAAACAGCCTTAAGGAAGAAGAATTCCAAGATAGTTGTGAGGCATCACTGTATATGTTCCCAAGTGGAATATTTTAAGGGAAATGGTGACAAAATTTAAATAATATCCAAGACACATTAGCTACTTTATTAACAGTGTGTATATTTTTTTTAGGTCTAGTCAAAGAGTTTTTTCAATTTACCCTGTAGATTATTCTTTTAATAAATTCACCCAAGCATGGCAATGAAGCCACTAAGACACAAAGGGTTACTGAGTGCAAAAAACAATAGAGTAAAGTAAACTAAAACATTACCAAGGAGAAAGGAAAATAGAAATAACATGATTCAAAGAGACAGAAGATGACAACTGATGTTGCATTAAACATTGTGAACGATTTGACTATAGGAATTTTCTTTTAATCTCCAAGCAAGGTCAGAGAGCCACTAAGATGGAAGGAGTTACTGAGAGTGAAGGAAACTGAGAAAACATTAATGAAGAGAAAGAACAATGAAGAATAGTTTTTAAGGAGACAGAAGATGACAAGTGATCTTGTATTTAATTTTTTTTTTAGATTGTAGTTGAAAGCAAGAAATTGGACAAGAGTTTAATAAAGGAAAAATTGAAGAAATTTTTAGATATGCACAAAAGAAAAAGACTTTCAATCTGTAGACTTCAAGAAAAACTTTCAATATTCTATCAGAATATACAAGCAAGAGTGAAAAACTTACTGTTGAATGGTCGAATCTTCATCTCCTGATGCCAATTGTTTAGAATAAGTTTCTATGTCTTCTTCAAATTTATCAAATTCAGAAGTGTAAAATTTTTTCTGGTCTTCATATTTTATGAGATCTTTGCGAAGATCTTCAAGCCTGCAAATAGAATAAATTACTAAATAAAGAGAAAGGAAAGAGAAGAGAAGGGAAAGAGAAGAGAAAGGAAAGAGAAGAGAAAGGAAAGAGAAGAGAAAGGAAAGAGAAGAGAAAGGAAAGAGAAGAGAAAGGAAAGAGAAGAGAAAGGAAAGAGAAGAGAAATCGTGGAAGTACAAGTGGCGGTGGCATTTAGCTATTTCAACAGTAAAAGGGTGGGGCTTAGATGCAAATCTAGTAGCACACTTAAATTCATGCAGTCGGGGCACCACGAAAAAAGCTTGTCAAAGCAGTTGCCATGAAAATATTTGTAGAAAAGACAGAGGGAAGCCACATCATGTTGGTGAGAAAGTAGCTGGAGTTGAGATACCAAGTCGGGATCATTTACATTGCAGATCCTTCTTTGGATTTTGTCAAGAACTGCAAGATGAATAGCAGGAGCACCAGATATATAATGGTGTAATGAATATCAGCTTGGAGTGAGAACTTAGACAGCCAAGTTCAAATTCCAGTCAAGTTTGTTAGATTCACTTACACACAAATACCCTTAGAAAAGGTATGAATCCATCTCTTCTCCCCCTAGATATGGGTTGAATAGTAGGACAGACTGGGTTCTTTAGCCTTGGTTGGCAACCAGTCTACTGCAGAAAGAAATGGCAACCTACTGCATGAAAAAAAGAGACATGATCGCCCAAGTGTGTATCGTGTGGCACTTAACTGGCTGATTCAATGGACACGCGAATGATGTAGTAATAGTTTTTTGTTTTTTTATTTTTAGTCAGTATAAATCCAAATATAAAGCTTGATACTTACTTCTGTTTAATGACTGTGGCTGTAAGATCATCGACTGCTAATTTTTCAGCTACCAACGTCCCATCATATCCTTCTAGGAGTCTTTTATCAAATTCCATTTTATTCATTTTAAGAGGTTCAGTTCTGAAAGGAAAAATGATTTGGTGAGAAGAATTTGTTCAAAGTGATCAGGAAGCCAGAATTCCCAGAATGCTCGATCCATCTTCACATATACACATACACACACCTCACTGACTCGAGTAATGATTGAAACTGTTCACTGAAGATGACATGAATTTTTGCCGCAGTTAATGGATGACAGCTTTTATATTTCAGTAGAGAAACTCATTTTGCCTTCTTTTCAGTGGACACAAAGTGGAAAGAGTATATTGAATTAATTGCTAAGTCTTCAGCAATTAAAGTTTGTTCACCATGTTGTACTAAATAATTTTTAACAGAATCTTTAATTTAACAGAATTTTTACATATTTATAAGTTTACTGTTTGTCTTTGCTTTGAATATTGCTGCTACTTTTCATCTTGTGCTCCTGATATATATATATATATATATATTATATATTTAAAGATTCTTGATAAAATCCAAAGAAGAATCTGCAATGTTATTGGTCCTGACCTGGCATCTTGGCTTCAGTTCCTTTCCCAACACTTTAGCATAGCTTCCCTCTGCCTTTTCTATAAATATTTTCATGGTTCTTCTATGTTACCTAGACTTTATGAATTTAACCACAGTACTAGATTGGCAGCTAAGTCTCATCATTTAACAGTTGAAATGGCTAGATGTAACCATAGGTTCTATGATAAAAGATTTTCCTATTGCACTTCTTCCTTGTGGAACTCTCTTCTGGTTTCTTTCAAAACATTAAATGCAATGTCAATCGTTATCTTCTGTCTTAATTCTTGTCATTTCATGGTCCTCTCTTCTTAAAAGTAGTTTTTCTCATATTTCTAACACTCAGTAATCCCTTGTGTCCTAGTGGCTTTATTTCCTTGCTTTAGGTAAAATGATAAAAAACAAAAATAAATTTCCAATCTAAAAAAAAACCTCAAATAAACATGTCATTCAATACATGTTAAGTCGCATTAAAAAAAATAATTATTTTTCCCAGATATGAAACCAAATTTCCTCCTGAAATGAAACATTTATCATGTGCAGGTGATGTAACAATTAACAGTGGAGTTTGAATTCCAGTCGAGTTTGTTACATCTGGTTTTACACAAATATTCTTGGGAAAGGCATGAATCCATCTCTTCTCTCCCCAGCTATGGGTAGACTGAACTCTTCAGCCTTGGCTGGCAACTAGTCTAAATCTACCTGATATTATTATAATGCCTTGCTCTACAGTAGGCAGCTTTATTGTAGATAGTCACTCAGTTTAGCAAAGCTATAATGAAATACTGAAGTTTAGAAGAACCTATATGAGCAATGATCCACAATAGAAGCTTGTTAACCATGACTTTAGATGTGTCCTTGGAATGTGCACAGTATAGCTTAGTTTCATTTAAACCAAATCCAGTAAGGGGGGGGTTGATAGGAAGATTGTGTTGCAACAATTGGTCAAGTGAGAAGATACAGTCACTAACTCCACAGATAATAGTGACAGAATGATAGAGATGATCAAAACCATGAAAGTGACAGACATTGCCGCCACAGTGATTGGTAGCAGCATGATCAGTAAAAAGATGATCATACAGAATATTTTTTGTAAGCATTTCACCCCAAATGAGGCAAAAAAGCCACTAAGACGCAAGAGAAGTTTACAGAGTGTGAGAAGATATGAACAAAAAAAAAAAAACATTATTAAAGACCAAGAACAATAAAAGACGAATTAAAACAGAAAGTAATGATTTGCATTATATTTAAATTTTTGAAGATCAAATTTGACTAGAAAGCAAGAAGGGAGTTCCACAAGAGAGAAGTGCAAGAAAAAAAAACTTAGCATAGAAGTTGTGGTTACACGTAGTTGAATTTGTTTGATTTTTTATTTAGAAGCTTCAAGAATTTGATTTTTCAGTTGTAGTTTTCCGTGATTCTTCAGGATTGTAATACAAGCCAGAAGAGAGTTCCATATGCAAGAAAAAAAAACTGTTAGCATAGAACTTACAGCTACATCTAGCCATTTCAACTGTAACATTATGAGAACTTGCCCAATGATCTAGTACTGCACTTAAATTCAAAGAGTTTACATATATTGGATTAAATGTAGTTTATTTAAATATCAAATGAGATCAGTTTATTTTTTAAATATATTTTATTAAATATATATATTTCTAAAGAGACCTGATGATAAACACTAATAACTGATGCTTTCCAAAATACATATTACAATGTGAAAACAAACATTTCTGGTTTACTCCACAGTTTGTAATTAACTTTACAGTCCTATTTTGCTGTTGAACGATACAGAATAAATTAAAAGATAACAATTTACAAAGGTGGACTGAAAAGTTTAGAGCTGTGACATCTTGTATGCATTAATTTCAACCCTTCTTATTAATAACTGCATCGTTTCTTTCCAGATAAACCGATATCTGACTGTTCAAAGAAGACTTCAAAAGTTACTAGTAGCAAATTCTCTTGATAATGGACATTAGGAGATAACACTCCAGCTTTAACAACAGTGCAAAAGTGGGCAGCTGAATTTAGAAGGTCTTGAAGATGACCCAAAGTTTGGACATCTCGCCACTGGCACCAGCGAGGAAAACCTTGTGTTCACCACATGGTGATGAATGACAGGCAAGTGACTATAAATCAAATAGCCAATACTATTAACATATCCCATGAGAGAGTTGAGAATATTCTGCACAATGAACTTGGCATGACAAGGTGGGTGCCATGTCTTCTGACACCTGATCAAAAGTGCACCAGGCTGATCACATCATGAGGAAATCTGACATTGTTTAAAGCAGATCCACTTGGTTTCTTTGAATGTTTCCTAATCCAGGATGAATGTTGGGTTTATTACTTTGAGCCAGAGACAAATAGACAATCCATGCAGTGGAAACACTCCTCCTCACCTGCTCCAAAGAAGACCAAAGTTATTTCATCTACAGAGAAGGTGATGGACTCAATTTTGGGGGATGCAAAAGGCATTGTGTTTATTGACTATCTTCAAAAGGGCTACACCATCAATGGAGGATACTATGCTAACTTACTGAGGTAGTTACAAAAGATGAAACACCTAGGACAACTGATGAAAGGTATCTTTTTTTCATCAGTACAGTGTTCCAGCCCACAAGTTCTTGGTTTCCCTGGCTGTTGAGCATGACTGGGTCTTTGAATTGGTTGATTACTCTTCTTATTCTTCTGATTTGGCCCTATCTGATTATCATCTGTTGCCCAACATGAAAAAAAAAAAAAAAAACTGGATTGGGAACCAGTACTGCAGTGATGATGACTATCTGCTATTGATGACTTTTTACCAACAAGATGAAAGCTTCTTCCCCAGTGGAATTCAAGCACTGTAACTGATAGAAGTGTGTGGACCACAGAGGGGGTGGGGGAGACTATGTTGAAAAATAAACCTCATTTGGACACAATTCATGAAAGTATCTTGATCAGACTATGAACTTTTCAGCTGACCCTCATACCAGCGTCATGTTTTGATCTATGATTAGTATTCCAAACACTTACTTATTCTTTTCAATGAAATCTGTGAAATAATCTTGGACTTCAATGGCGTCAATGGTCGGAATAATGGTTTTCGTCATGGAGCAGACATCTGGATCAGTGTGACATGTCAGTTTCACATATTGACTCAACACATTTTTCCTGAAAAATAAAAATAATTCACTTTTTTTTTTAAATTCATTGTTCATTTTAATGTAGATTTTGAAATGAGTTTAGAAAGAATCACTAAAATTGATCAAAGGTGAACAAAAACTTGGAGAGTTGAGTTACTAAAGAGAAATAACTCAAACGGAGATATCCAGAAAAAGGCATGGCATGTGGAACTAGAACAAACTAACCCAAATGATGAAATATAGAGATCAGTTCGAAATTCCAACATATATCATCTGAAGAAGGTTGGAGTGTAAAACGGCCAAAACAT